TGTTTATGATGCCTTAAATAGACTTAAGCCGTCCATTTCAGCTGGTCCCGATAACATTCCACAAATAATTTATAAAAAATGCGCAGTTTCATTGAGTCTTCCACTATTTTTAATTTAATTTTTAATTTATAAGGATATTATGAAATCTGGTCTTAATCCCAAAATTTGGAATTTGCCTCATAATTCCCATTCATAAAAAAGGAAGCACCTATGACCCTTCTAACTATACACCTATTAGCCTAACATACGTTGGTGGCAAGGTGCTCGAAAGGTTGATTTGCAATAAATCCTTTACTTGTCTTGATGCCAATAATTTTATATCTTCTTATCAGCATAGCTTTTGAACAAAAAAATCTACTTCTTCACAAATATTGGCAAATCTCTCTGATTGGTCAGCATCAATTGATGAAAAAATAGTATCAGTTGTATACCTAGATTTGGCTAAGACTTTTGATACTGTTTCCCATAGCAAATTATTAGTCACTCTTAATAGTTATGGCATAACAGGGGGCCTCTATAACTGGGTGTCAGATTACATAAAAGATCGTCAACTCTAAATGATTCGATCTTCCTAACCTTTTTATAAATGGTAATTTAATCTCACACATCTCCGATCTTGGAATAATCATGGATGAAAATTTCGATTTTGATCTTCACTGCAGAACCATAGTAAAGAAATCCTCAAGGATACTAAATTTTATTTTTCGTTCGTTTAAGAACAAAACTGAAAGTTTTCTTATCAAAAGCATTCGTTCGGCCTCTTCTTGACCACAATACTACATGTTACTCCCCGAGATATCGTAAATTAAGTAAAATAATTGAAGGACTCCAAAAATATTTTCTATGACGCCTCTCTCCTAATAAAAATTACAATTTTAATTATAAAAGAACACTTCTGCAACATAACATGGATTCTCTCGCAGTTCGTAAACAAGATTTAAACAAGATTTAATTTGCACATATAAGATTCTGCATGGTTATGTTAAACTAGATTGCTCGAAATATTATAACTTTAGACTAAATTTGAATCCAACAAGAACTAATGGCTTAAAATTACTAAAACCTACATGCAAAACTAAACTAAGGACTCATGACTTTTTTATTCGTACTATTAACTACTGGAACAAGTTACCGAACGATGTGAAGCTTGTGCTTCATCCTTAGCTGTCTTTAAAAAAAGACTAGATAATATCATTTACGATATTATTTAAAAAAACAAGAGAAGAGTTTGCACCAGGCAAGAACTGCAGGAAGTGAAAAATCTCGATTTTATCTTCAGGTTATATTTGTTACTTCGAATTGTACTATATTATATTGATCTGTAATTTCCTCTTTAAATTGTTAATTTTTGTCATATTGTTTTATAATTAATTTTGTTCCTGTTATTTTTTTTCTTTATGTTTTCTTTTTCTGTTTTTTGTTTTCTGTTATCTTAGCTGTTATTATTAATACAAACCATGGCGTTGTCGCCCTGCTTGGCTGGTTATCAATAAATATACTTAAATATACTTAAATCATGTCATCATGAAAATATGAAGATACAAAATAATTAAATAATTTAAGTCTAGAAATCTACACCACTGAAATATATTGTTCTGATGCCCAGGGACAATGAACATTTTGATTTAGGGAATCATCACGATTTTTTTGACTAGATTCTTTGACATGCTCGATAATACTATAATATAACGCGCCAGTTGAACAAGACGGAATAAGAAAGAATAGGAGAAATGTAGTGGTTAGAAAACCAATATATTTCTCTGCTTTTGAACCAGAAGATAGCCTTGATTCATGGCCCTAAAAATAGAAAAATCACAATTTAATAGTTCATTTATTGTCGCTATATATAAAATGGAAAAAAATATTTTTAGGTGCAATGGTTTTCTTTTCTTATATTTTCCTTAAAATATTTGGCAGAAACAAAGAAATATTGAAAATATTATTAAAAAGAATCTTAAGAATTAAAAAATTTCTCCTAAATAATCAATTTGGTGAATAAAAAAAGAATTTAAAAATACTTGAGACCAATCAAATGTGCAGAAATAATCCGAAATTAAAGTATAGGTACCGAAGCCAAATATGGGTAAGGTACTCCACGCAGCGACCACTAAGATCATTATTATTAGTGCATTTCTATAGTTTTTTAATTTCCTCCAATTTTCTGCAAATGTTAATCATGCTAATATTTCATTTTTTTAATTAATTTGCTAAAATACAATAAAATGAAAATTTCTCTGGTTTTTCCTTGATGCGAACCATAGCAATAATACCTAATTCGCAGTCGTCTTTAGTCGATTGTGGCTATAAATGAATTTAGAAACAATAAACAGGCAAACCGAGCAAAACCGTTTGTTTATATGTTAGAAATGTTAGATAAGCAAACAATTAAGCAAGTAATTTATAAGGTTAAAAAAAATTACGCCAAGATGGTGTAACAGTAACAATATATCTATCCAGTGCAATGAACGAAGCACTATTAATTTGTAAAAGTGATAAGCAAAGGTCCACTGATCCATACAAATTACAACCGAATTCATTAAATACACCGCTATAATCAAGATTTTTTAATCAGCTAATTTTGATTACTATAATACCAAAGTATCTTCAATTTGACACCACCTTATGGTTCCTAATGATAATATTCGGCAAATGGAACCTTCAAAAATGCAGATTAATATGAATATGAAAATGACGAAATTAAAAATGAATTTTAATTAGAAGTGTGTAAATTGATGAAATCAAGAACTTTTATCGTCACTATGGGCATCGCCATTTAAGGCAAAATCATCTATAAAATATTCAACATCACTGGAATTACATAAAACTTTCTTTTAACTGAAATGATTGATCCTTGATTCGACTAAATTGACAAGTACCAATCTTACATTTACTAATATTTTGCATAAAATTGATTGTAATAAATTATTATTTTTACAAATTGCTGTGGCTTAAATCATTATCATTTTATGCACTGAGATGGGTTTCCCTTTGTGAACTGCCAAAGTTGACTAACTGTTTTTGCCAAATTTTCTAATGGATAATAAAAAGCTGTGGTAAATAATGTCTTACCTGGATGTGAGAAACGCTTTTGATGGCAAAAACAATAAACAACTAAGAAATAAATTAATAAAAAGGATCGCAATTATTGGTATATAACTCGGATGGTTTGAAGACTCATCGAATCGCAATCGATGCAGGACAGCAACCAAAGAAACTATATTGAGCAAAGTCGAGAACGTCGCTGAAATCGAAAACTCTTCGTTTTGCTTTTATCAACTGCCACAATTTTATCAAATATCCTTATTAATTAACAGTATTTATTAATTTCCATTTCAAATCTGAGTAGAAACTTTATTCGTTATGTGAAATATGAATGATTTCAAATATCATTTTAAACTTTTTGAGAAAAAAATGTGGTACGTTCTTAAGTATTATATTCATATGTTCTTATGTTGATAATGATTTGGAATCAAGATAATCGAGTGGATAGTGGATCGTGTCGGGGAATCTTCTGCGCTCAACAGGAGTCAAGCTACCATAAAATTTTAAGCTTGCCGGCGATCCACCTGTATGTATTTCTATCACTAATTTTCATTTTAATATCCATTAAGCAAAAGGTTCTAATCGTATAGCTCGCAAAGCGGACTAACCAGAAATAATGAGCGCTAACCACTCTTTTCATTAGCTCGAAAATAAAGAAACATTCCACATTTCTTCAATAATAACTGAGATACGAATATTTTAATCTACATAAAATTATAACAAATGCAGTTCAAGTTAGAAACCATTGAAAAAAAGTTTAAATTTTTGCGAAAAATCAGCTTTCTTCTAACATTTTTTACTGAAAAAATTTAGTGAAGAAACAATAATTAAATTTTAAAAAACTATTCATCATTAGAAATTCTAGTAAAGTTTCAGAAAATTCTTTGCGTTAAATTCGACTAAATAAATTCGAAAATTAGTCTTTTTGTTTGCCAAATTGCTGCAATTCTCTACTGAATCATTGAAATTTATTAATGCCAAAATCGATGATAAGTACAAAATCAATTTAGAGTTAAAAATTAAGCGAAAAAGAAAATTTACAGAAAATTGCAAGAAAAGAAGATAGGAATATGAATAATGAGTAGATAAGTAAATATAAGAAAACAATAAAAATGATAAAATGATAAAATACACGCTGTTTGCTTTTGCCTGACGCTAAACCACAAAAACGGAAAAGAGATGAAAGTAAGATGGTCCATAAATTTAAATAAATTTAAATCCAGGGTATTTTTTATGGAGAAAACTCCTTTTATTGTGGAATTCTGTTTGTACTCAGACTGAAAAGAAAAAATAATGGAAATAAAGAATTTACTGAGATTTCCCTCGAAAACGTTAAATAATTTAGTTTAATTACTATTTTTTCCACTAATTTCGGTTCAATTTTTTTCGAAATGCTAAATTTTCTATTTTCTAAAATTTCATTTTCTATTGGCTTTTCCACATTTTTTTTCTTTGGCTAAATTTCTAAATTCTTTTGTTTTGAATTTTAATACTTATCATTGTAAAAATAATAAAGAGACGAATTATATGAATGAAAAAATTTATTGCCATAAATTTTAAGAATTGATAGCTTTTTTAAGTTTTTCATTAAACTTTTTATTTCTTTTCTTTTATATTAAAATTTGATAAGTTTCTAAGAAGTAAAATAATGATAGTACATTTTTATAATATTTTATATAATATTTTATTGGTCCATGTTAATGCCTTAGTAGTTCAGTCAGTGCCTTTGCCATTCTGAGTGATTAAGATATTTAACTTAATTTATGAAGAGTGGAAGAGAAAAGAAAGCAACGAGCCATAAAATTTTCTGCACCGATAAAGATAAAAATATGACCACTGATAAAGAAAATGTTTAATTCCGGCATTAAAATATTATATTTTAAGCTTTAAATCTTTAAGCTTTTTATAATTAAGGATTGGTGAATGTTTGATGTATACATATATATTGAAGAAAGAAAGAAATTACTTCCACTAAAAAATACATTTAATATAAATTTGCTTTTCATTCCATTCAGTGAAAAATTTTAATTAATTAATTTGGCAATTTGTTGTATTAATGCTATTTGTAGTTTTATAATGAACTTCTCTTCAAAAAATCTTTTAAAATCGAGTAAAATTAAATAGAAAATTTTCTTTTCTAAGTTATTAATCAAAGATGAAGTTGCGTTAACAAATAATGCTAATTTCTTTTATCTATTTCGTTGCATTCATTTTTTTCATAAAATTTTTATTTATGATATGCATTAGATTAAATTTCAAATATAAATGATGATTTAACATTTTCGTAGTTGGGACAACGCAAAGAAAATATTTGAGATTAAAAGAGATCTGAGATTTTATACAATAATCAGCAATTCCCACATTAATATTGGTTTTTGCATTCATTTCATAAATATGCATAGAAGGATAAAAATGTTTAATGATTCATATTTGAGGAAAAAAAGACATCGAAAATTCAATAAATCATAAACTGGGACCAACCAATGGATTCGTTTAAGCATTCAAGGGTTTTGCAAATTGTTTAACTGCAGTTAAGACTTAAGCACATGTCTGTTAAATATGGAGGGCCACTTTTAAATGTCAAAAGGGGTGGTGGAGCATTGCAATAAAAAACGTCGTTAAGAAGCGAAATCGTAAGTAAAAATATATAAACCTTTTCAAAAAACTAAAACTTCCTATCGGGAGTAAAATAGAAAATCAACTGAAATGCACTCAACAATCGCGAAGAGTAAATAAAAATGAGGTAAAACAATAATTCATAATAAAATTACGACTTGCAATTTGCAGACTTTATCCTTTCTCCATCTTTTCTTCTTTAGTAATCTTTAGTAATATTCAAATAGAAAAATAGTTTTTTTTTAAAAAATGGTTTAAATGAAATTGTGAAAACATCTAATTTTATTTAAAATATTTTATTGAATATTAAATATTAATGATTTTAACAAATTTTAACGGAAGCGACTGAAAAAAACAGCTGCCAGAGAATGACTTGGGTATAAGCGGATCGCAATTGCAAGTGCAAATTTTGAACATTCAAGGATTTCGTAAATTGTTTAATTTAACTTTTAATGAGAGGTTCACTCTTCTCTAAGAATATGAATCGTGATTAACATTTCGTTAATTTAGAGGATTTTATCAAGGATTATAGTATTGGTTACAGAATTTAGATTTTATATGTATGATGGAAGAAATCTCGTTGATTTTTCTACTTTTTTGGAAGTTCATAACTAAAGAAAATTTTCTCGAGTTCATTCATTTATATATGTCCTATGTAGCTCCAATGTAAGCATATCCAGAGAGATGCTTAGATAGGCTATATCGAGCTTACACTTGAGTACCCAAAATGTCTTATTTTTCGATGCAAAGCCAATGTCACCAAGTGAAATTCAGTGCAATACCGAAAAATTACAAAAGAAAGCGAACCAAAAATGGTAAGTAAAATAAAATTTGATTTGACTAATCTCTTGTAATATTCTCTTATATATCTCTTACATTAAGAAGAATTTGTAAAATTATTAGAAATAAGTAAAAAAAAAGAAAATTTTTTACTTACCTATCGTTGTAAGAGTGATTGTTAAAAATGGGTCGAACATTGGAGAAAATATTATTTTCCTTTGCCAATATTTATGCTTTTATTCCTTTATGAAAAAGGTTCACGCAAAATGAATAAAGCAGATTTTAGCAGATTTTAAAATAAGAATAAATATATATTTATATAAAATGATGCTGAATAATATATATGATTAAGAACAATAGCGAAGCATGGAATAAGGAATAATATTGGGCGGAAAGAGTTCGTTACCACTGTTTTAAGTCATTGTCTCATTTCTAAACCATGTAATAAACAGCAACAAATAGAGATAATTGACTCGAATGGTACTAGCTACACTTGGTTCTTACAAATTACTAGATCATCAATCAACCAATCAATCAATCAATCGACTAGATCACTTGTATATTTATCAGATATTTAGCCTCTTTTTTTATGCAGAAATCAAATATACTGGCGAATTTCTTCTAAAAAATTGTGAATTGCATTTTCTCCTCCGATCCACTTCTATTATTAATTTTGGTTTAAAATCCATCTTATTGATTTTGGATTTGTTTTCTTCCGAATGAATGAATCCATATAGGTTTATAGAATGATAAATGATGATTGAAAAATATTTTTTTTTTCATATTAGCTTATTTGTTGATAAATAAATGAGAATCATAAATGAAACTTACCATAAAACGATTCTTATGAAAATTATACGAGGCTTTCCGTGATAATTCAGAAATTTTTAAGGTTTCAGAAAGATTTTGGTGCGCAATAATTTTTTTCGATGCTGTGTTTTTTAGCTAATTTAGTCATTATTTTGCAAATGCCAAATGCTCAAAATTGCTTTAAAAATTGCTTGAATCTCTCTTTCATAATTTCATCTGATTGTTTTAAGTTTTCGAATTTTGCTTCTATGATGGGTTTTTCAGTGTGGAAATATAATCCCATTCGGAGAATCCATTTGACTCTAATCAAATCAGAAAGAAATTGTCCTTCTTCTTCCCTTTCCCCTACCAATTATTTTGATTTTTCAATTAAATTAAACAAATTGGAGGAAAAGTTGCCGACAAATGTTTTTTCAAAATAAAAAAGATATAAAATATTTGAACGAAAATTAATGAATCGAAAATGAAAAATGAAAACATAATGAAATAATTGATATCAGTAATTACTTCCTTTAGTTTATAAGAATATTTTATCGTTTGTTTTGCGGTTGTTCTAAAGATAATCCAAAAATTTCACTCGTCTTGCATTTAATTGACAATGAAAAATCAAAATAATTGGTAGGGGAAAGGGAAGAAGAAGGACAATTCATCTCACTAATTCATTCAATTCATTTTATTTAAAAATGCAAAATCAACAAAACAATATATCAAATCTGGTTGTTAAAGTTTATGGCGAAAATTTTATGGAGCTACTTCGACAAGTGGCGAGCGTTCACCATTTTTTGTTAGGCTAATTCCGCTGGCTATTGGAAATTTTTGGCATAGAAAGGTTGTGCTGGGCCGCCAGCGACTCTGAAATTTTTAATGGTAAGTTAACTCTTATCGAGATATCCGAATGATATGGTATCCTTATCGCTCTTCTACGATTGCCTAATGCTGCAATTTACTCTATAAATCGAATAAAATTGCCAGTATTCAGCGCTAACGTTGAAATGACTTTCACTTTCATATCTCATCTCGA